TAAAATATCTGAAAATTTAATTATGATTCGTACCGTTTTGAAAGTAAAAATCAAACAGCAATATTAAAATATTTGATGAATTGCGATATTGAAATATTTGATGAATCGCGATATTGAAATGTTTATTTAATTTGCGTTTCAATTTCATTTCGTAATATCGGTCATTCCATACCACAACAAAAAGTTGGGCGTCGACATTCGTGAATGGCCGCCCGGAGCGAACAGTATTGGTCGTATCAAAATTTCCTGAACAGAAGCGCACGTATCACTTTCGATTTGTGCGTTCAACATCTACCTTGTACGCGGTACGTATCTTTCAATAAGCATGCGCAGTGTTTTTACCTTTATGATATAACTCCAGCAAACACGCCGCGCTGCAATTTACACCACAGAAGCTAGGAAGAATAGAAAGAGTGGGGGTAATTTTCTCGCAATTACTCTGTAAAGATGGAATCACACAATGCTCGATTTTTTGCATGATAGCATACAATCGTGCCTGCTCTGATGTATGCTAGAATTCGTTCATGCATTGATCGCTGCATGCTGCATATACATGATTTTTATATTTATTATGGATTACTTCATAGCTCATTTCCTTGCATATCCTAATCAATAGAAATAATTGCTAATTTCATATTTATCAAACATCAGACTGTATACATCAAAGCAAGCATAGCAGCATGCATATGTGCATGCATACGTGCATGCATGCGTGCATGCTTATCATTCAATAAATAGAGCATCGTGCTTAATTCATCTTTACATGCCTTTATGTTATATTAGTATAGTTATATTAGTGTTATGATTTCAGTTTCTTACTATCAAATATTTTATCATTTTCGACACTCCTCTGCCGTTTAGCGGTTCCGCGTTAATATTTGAGGATTTTCCATTTATGTACGATCTTAAGACGATACTCTACAAAGTAGAGGAATTTCATAGATGGTGGATTTAAGATTGCAATCCTCTTAATGCTAATAGAAGAATGTCTTGCATGTACTGGTATGCACGCGTACACTGAGAAAAATGTCCGTTCAAAAAGTAACAAACAGATATTTCCGATTGATTTTGATCAGATTTATAAGACTATCCGATCAAATTTATCGGATAGTCCTATAAATCTGATAAATTTGATCGGATAGTCTTATAAATCTGATCAAAATCAATCGGAAATATCTGTTTGTTACTTTTTGAACGGATAAAGCCCGGAAATTTTTCTCAGTGTAGCTACGTAAATGACAAACTTCTTGTAACAAATAAGTGTGCCGCTTGTATGCATCCTCTTATTTTCAAAGGCTGTTCGAATTATTATAATAGAATTTTCCATAGAGGAATTGATTTTTTATCATAACTCATGTATGGAGAAAATATCTGGTTGGATTAATTAGAATTCTGATTAAAAATAGACAAATCAGAATTTTCTGATTAAATCTATCTAGAATTCTAGTTGTGATTGATGTAATCAGAATTTTCTGGTTCGTTATTTCAACCAGATATTTTTCTCATTGTATAGGTTCTTATTTTTATAAATAAATACGTATTATAAATACACGTGTCTAATTCATATAAAATTTGTTACTTAGAGAAAATGCTAAGAGAAATTCCCCATTTATCAGTAGAATATTTTTTTTTGGTGGAATATGATCGATAGTGATTTTTTCAGTGAATCTATTGGCCACCTTTTTTCGGGTCATCGATCACGCGATTAGTACAAATGAACATTGGGTCTCGACCCTCATACGTTCATTACCAAGATCTCGAAAATCTTGTTGTGCTACATGTCTGTCCGTATTTATAATTACATTTGTGTAACATTCTTTTATACTGTGCTCTCAAAAATTTCAGAAGACTTCCAATTTGTTGAGAGAGCCCCGCACAATTTTTATTCGATAATTATGAGAGCAATAATGATGAGCTTCAAGATCCCAAAAGAAAGATGATCGTGATGATCTTAGATATGAAAGCAACAATAAAGCTATCTCACCGAGTGAGGTTTTTGTTACTTAGCTATTAAAACAATTATTCCTTTCATATCATCATAAACAGTGTCATGTACTGTTTATTTGTCTCTTGCTTATAGACAATTAAATTGAAATACAACAAATTAAATAAAAAACTGTCAATAAACTCTCAAATGTATCAATATTCTCTAAAATCTTAAATTCGTCAGAATATAATAACTCTGTTATCAACAATTAAAGCTCTACACATAAACGATTGAAACGTTCTCCATGTTAGTCAACGTATACAGATATAAAAGGATGTTACACAAATGTAATTATAAACACGGACAGACATGTAGCACGACAAGATTTCCGAGATCCTGATGATGAACGTATGAGGGTCGAGACCTAATGTTCATTTTTGCTTCAACCCGCAAACAACACACTCGGTCAGAAAAAAATGTTACTCGTCCGCATACATTATCCAAGGAAACCTATGAAAGTTTCTCTTGGCGTATAAATTTATTCAAGATTTCCTTTTCCTGACACCTCGCGGCGAACTGAAATCGTGTTAGCTCCGATGTTGGACAAAGTTTGGTCGGGTAGATAAAGAGAGTTATCCTTGTAGACGTTCGAGAGTGACACTTCAAGAGAAAGGATAAAAAATTGCAAGAAAATTTAACGTGATGCTAGACGCAAATCGGATGTCCGCCTCACGATTGCATCGAACTATCGATCATTTACTGCAAATAAATTTGTGCGGCATCTTAACTTTTAACAATCTCACCACGTGGTACTTTTTGTGTACCTGTGACGCACTAATTTCTAACGATCTATGTTGAAATATTCACGTGCGATATCCTCGGATGTGAAATATTCGCGCAAAAATAGAGCGCAAATATACATTTTTTGTCTCGCGTCACTCTCGAAGCGGGGACGCGATATCTGGTGGGTTTAAACGTCTTCCAATTTATAATTTCAAAATTCTCTGCGGCGAGATACTCGCGATGAGAGCCCATTTTTTATCCTGAAAAATCCGTTGATGACAAATTTCCATGCAAGAGACGAAGAGCGCCGTTTCCATAAATTGCTTATATCGCAATGAAATTTCGCGTTGCGTCGAGTCGTGTCGGTCGCGTCCGCGCGTCGAGGAGGAAAAATTTACAGGCGAGCGAGTTATTGGGGCATGAAGTGTACCGGAAGTACATCATACGTTAGAACAAATCACTACCCTTATCCTAGGCTACCGCTCGATATCATGTTTCAGCTCACATGTCATCGGAAAGGTTGAACTATGAATTATTTACTTTAGTCGGCGCCCTTACACTCCGTTGAACAGTTTATATCAATTTTGCGGTGCGCAATGAAATGACATGCAGCGACGAGGGAGAGTATCTTCCGCCATAATAATTATCATATCGCACGTGGCAACGAAGCCGCTCGTGGCAGATCCCAAGAAGGTTAAAGCGATAAAGAGTCTAAATTATTGACCAAGTATGTACTTGGAAACAAGTACATACTTGGTCAATAATTCAGACTACCAAGTTAATTAACAATAACAATTAAAGAGATCACAAGAGGCCAGATCAGTCAATATTTCATTAAAAGAAGGAAAACAGTATTTGTCGAACAACATATACAAGCGAAAGATAATTCGATTTATGGCGCAGTAATAAATCAGTAGTTATCGATATAATTTATTGCTGTACATTGTTATCGGTGGAAATAATAATGGTGAAAATGCGGGGAGAGATTTGAGATCGCGATGTGATTTATCTTCACCACAAAAAAAATATTCTGCCGATAAGCGGGAAATTCCTCTTAGCATTTCCTCTAAGCAAAAAATCTTACATCTGGAGACACTGGTAGTGTCTCGGCGCTAAGCTACGCGCAGCGTTAATCTTACATTAATCAGATGCGTGTATTTATAACACGTATTTATTTATAAAAATGAGGATGTATGAGCTCTCCATGATCAAAAATAGAATCCGTAATAAAAATTCAATTGTAATAACACGTGCCCTTTCGAAATTGCATGCGATTGCCGGCAATTATCGAACGCACGCGAATTATACCCACGCATTTCAAATGAAAATTAGGGCGTTACCTACCCCTATTTTCCCCACTACTACTCGAAGCTCGGTGGAAACCTTTTCACATTTCGATAGACAGTGATGGTTTGTATCCGCGAATAATTCATGTCCCGGGCATTTCCCAGAGCGATCTCCATGTAACTCCACGGACTCACTCGGTTGATTTCCAAAAACTTGTAAGCCCGTAGCCGTCAGATCGTAACTGCGCAGTAAGACTTAAAGCAATAACCTGATTGGCTCATCGGCTTAAGTTCACCTCTTACGGTCACTATTGCGGAATTTTGTCCGTGCCAAGCTTGTCCGCGTGCAAGACTATAGTGTAGTGTTACGTGAAAGTAATTTGTGTGTGTTAAAATCTTATATAATGTATTTTTCAAGAATGAGAAAGGTGAACCGTTTAGAAACAATTGAAGAAGAGGAGGAGGATACCGTCCCCATGGACGTAACCGATGATTTCACTATACAGAGCGTTGTCATCGAGAACGCTCGTGTCGAGCGGAATAGGAACGTTCCCAACAGGAACATCGTCGAGTGGACGCTTGTTGCTGAATCAAGAGCAAAAAGGAAACGAGTGATCTTCGAGATTGCTCTTGTGGGCGAATCCGTCCACAGATTGAGGAATATGCAACCACTGGAGTGCATACAAATACTGATGAATTTAGTTGAGGCAAGTAACAGTAATGAACTCTACCATCGTCTCCAAGCGTTGGCGGACGAGCAGGAGAGACAAAGAGCAAATTAAAAACAGGAGGAGAGGAGGAGGAGGAGGAGGAGGAGGAGGAGGAGGAGAAGGAGGAGGTGAGTAAAAATTTATTATAATTTTTTAAAATATCTTCTTTGTTCGCGTTACTTGGGATCCTAAGTTTATGTACCACCGATACCATCGACCAGGATCTTCTCCGCGCTGCTCCCTCGAATACGAATTCTCATACGAATGCATTCGAGCCGCAAGTGCATTCTCGAAATGAGCTCGGAGGATGTTTCGTGCCACGGCGAAGGAATGGGTTTCATTCACACGGAAGATACGATCGACGGAATGGAGAATTTCTTAGTTTATAGGATAACTCCGGTAAATACACCGCCGCGCTGGGATTTACACCACAGAAGTCAGAAACAATAGATGGAGTGGGGGGGAATTTGCCCGCAACTACTCTGTTACATGCCTTTCTGTTATATTAGTATTGCGTTATGATTTCAGCTTTTTACTTGTTAATATTAATGAAATTATATATTTGTTTAGTTTGTTGTCTTGTATATCCCACCTGTTTGGCATATACGGCATTTTTAGCGAGCGAGATTTATGCTCAAAATGTTCAGATTGAATTCAGTACACTAAATGCAATAAATGCATTATACGAAATATGTACCTTATGACATAACACTTGTAATATACGTAGGAAGATAGTAATTATTATTTATTACTTTATATACATATTTACCATTCTTATTCCTTAATAAAACTTTATAAACACATTTTATAAGTTATTGTGTCATTATACGTCTTATTTATATTCATTATTTGTTAATTTTTCATGAGCCGTATATACCCCCTCTCCTCCTATGGGGTATATGGCAAAAATGCAAGGATTTCAAAAAATTCATTTTTTAATATGAAAAATAAATACTTCGCATTTCTAATATTTTTTTCATAGTAGTAGACAGTACAAAGTTTTTACCGATATAGTTCGTTTACTGTAAACATAAGTAAATAATACTTAATAAATTAAGTTTTTAATAGGTGTGGCGTATATGTCGGAGTTACCCTACTTCGCGGCGAGAAGTACCGTGTGGGTGACCTAAATTACGCAAGAGAGAAGCAGAAGAAATTATATATGTAATTCTGAGCTTTAAGAGATACGCGACTGAGAGGAACGAGCTCCGAAAGTCAGCAGAACTCAAATTCAAATGAAGCTGTTGAGCAATGGGCTCGAGCTCACACGGTTTGACATATCCCTGCAGTACACGATAAAGCGTGTGGTTTTACATAAATCATCTTTAAAACGTTTTTAAACGAGTATGACTGGCGAAATCTGCCTTACTTTAAACTCAAGCTTCACGACCAGACGGAATTTATTTTAACCTTTTAGAAACGTTCTCGTAAATCTTTTCTTGAATCTTCGTCTTCTTTTGAAAAATCGGTTTTCTAGATTCGTGAATTCCACTGCTTCTCAGTCGCGGAACGTGTGCACACGTGCGCGAGATAACAGCGAAGCTGCTTATGCTTATGAATATCGGAACGCTGCGCTGACACGATTATATGTCCGTCGACTGAATATGTTGGGTTGATTTCGCCATTACTCGGTTTGCTATTGAACGATCTATCGGACTTTACGAGAATTGCCGGGGCGCATCTCTCTGTTCCCCTTCTTTCTCTATCTTTCTGTCATTCTTTCTCTGCTTTTCTCTTACGTCGAAGGCTGCTCGTTGTTGTTACCACTCGACGTTTACCTTTTAGAATATCGCCTTTAATGCGTATTGGATGAAAATGATTCTAGATTTGGTACTGCAGACCGTAAAAATGGTAAAATGGTAAAGATGATGTACATATACAGTCAACAATCAAATATTATGGTAAAGCAACGTAAAATTGGATGGTGTTATGCAAAAATGAGCCATTTCACGAAATGTGAAAAAATTATACAGGTTCTTTGCACGAAGACAGCTCGATAAATTTAAAATTTAAATATATTAATAAATTTAAAGTTGAATTATGTTTAGGGTAAATTTTTCGTAGCAATTCTTTTTAGTGTAAATAGGAATATAGTATAATTTATCCTAAGCGGACGTAAATTTGTTAAGAGAAATGTACATCACTTTAAATTTCTAGATGCGTTAGTTGCATTCTTGAAAAATGTACTTTACATACAAGACAATAATTCTAGTTGCATGCACTAAATATTACTGCAGTCGAGTCTGTTAAGTGCATTATTTCGTGCCACTATTGTACCGCTGTTGCACGAAAATTTATAACATTGTGAAATATTAATATGCTGTGAGAATTTGGTCTGTTACTTTATTGGAACGTGTTACTTATGCGATGAAAAATAACAATAGCATGGATATTACTTTAAAAAATTGATATAAAAATATAAAAATTAATAACAGGATATTTACTTTGCTATTCTTAACTGAAAATTTCAAACAAATAATTGTTACAGTGATCTTCTTTTACAAAGATTTGTATAAAATATTTAGATAATTTAGACGTGCAAGATTTTCGACTTTTGGTCGAATCAGTCATAAAATTTTAGAATTTCGTGTAAATATGCGATTCACAATACCGTAGTTTGAATATCTGAGTTGGAAAAAATTTCGAATTTAAATCGAGCGAACTGCGATCTTTGGACGGATATCCCCTGTTATGGTCAGATTCTATTATACCTTTTTGTACAACAGTGCGTGATCTATTTGTAGATCCCGAGAGAGGACTCATAATTTGCGGAATTGCATCGTGTATAGAATATCATGCGGGGTAGAATATGGCACGGTATAACATTTTGTAAAAAATTAATAGAATTGATTAAGAATTTCATAAAAAAAAGATACAAAGCCGTAATCAGCCAACGCAGGTGTGCAAAAATAATAATTATTCAAATGTAATCTACATTAATTGGTAATCAACGTTTCGAGCATTTTTTTGGTCTTCCTCAGTGCAAAAAGTCAAATTAAAATATTACATTCCGTGAAATAAAGCGTAGTCAATCAAACAAACGCAATACAAAAATAGTGTTCCAAATAAAATCTATTTTTAAATAAAAAAATATTACGATTGTTGTCAAAATGTAGGTATGTGTTGCGGTATCAATGTTGATTCGAAGAAATTGAGACAGAAGCTGTACGTAAATTATAGTCTCGATTATAGTTAGGCTAAAATTCAACGACAGTCAACAGGCCAATTTTTAACCGAAGGACTGATTCTGTGTAAAAATTTACCAATCGTGCCGTGATGTATCGCAATTATTTTTTTACACTATGTATTTTTTTATGTATAAGATGATACCAAGATTGAAAAGTGGTCTCGTTGAGTGGTATCTGCATTTTTACATCATGACAGGCAATGCCTATGAGAAACGATTTTATTCCGAATCTTTATTCATTAATAAAGCGCTTTTATTTTTTTTATTTCACGAGATCTAGATATGGATCGATCTTTCAAGATCAATAACGATAACAAAAAGAACCTTTACATATCTAATTGGTTTTCGTCTTAATATTTAATCGTTAGGCATTTCACGCATCTATCATCATATTGCGTTGGCAATTTTGACACTATTCTTCATATAAAATTATCATCTCTATTTTGCTTCGTATTTTTTGACAAGACGTTCATATAATTGAGACATTTGTAAGTAAAAATAATATAATGTAACAGATTATTGTAGAATATTTTAGATATACTTATTCGATGAAATTGTTCAGGATAAGAAATTTGAATGAAAATTATTCGAGCAAATGATCTTAGAAATTTCTTCACGACAGTCTGCTCTTGTAAAATATGATCTGATGTAAAAATGTCCTTTCTATCGAATGGCTTTTTCGCATTAGCTTTATAAACTAAAATTAAATCGACGACCCAGTTCGAAATAGCAACAGCTCATAAAATTGAAATTTTCAACTTTACAAAATTTGAAATACAGAAAGTGTTTCTATACCAATAATTATCTGATTATCATATCGAGCTTCCCTTCGATCGCGTTGCTTTTTATCATGTATAAAATGACAAAGTAGTACAAGATGTCGATAATGTTTGCATTACCCCAGAAATTCTATACATTTAGCTCTCGGATGTAGCCTACTATTTTTATCATGCAGTTGCATAAGCTGCATTACATAAATCTGACCCTGTCAGTGACAACAGATGATAACGTTAAATATTCTGTAAGAAGTTCAATATTCGTGTACACAATGTGTTTAAATAACAAATAGAACGAAAATAAAATGAATTTCTTCGTTTTATAATTAAAAGTACATATGTATTTATTCTATCGAGTTCGCAATAATTTTTTAAACAATAATTTTGTCTTTTGCTTTCTTACCAGCACATTATGTATCATAATAATATGATATTAATAAGATATTAATTATTAATAGTAAATTTTAAACGCAAATTATTTAATTCTTATTTTAATAAAGATTTTAATTTAATTAAGTTTTAAAAATTTATTGAATTTAATGTTCTACCTACATTTAAAAAATAAAGTTTATTTGTATATTGAGAAAATAAATTTAAATATATATAATTTAAGTATTTATATGTTAAATTATATTTATTAATTTTTAAAAAATAATTAATCGTTATTTTTAAAATTTTACGTCCCAAAAGAAAATTGTGTGAATGTAATTATTAAAAAAGTTAATGATGTATAATACGAAATGAGAATAAATCGATTTAAATAAGAGAAATCGTATTTTCGATCAAAGCAGATTTTAATACTTATATATTTCAATGACATATTTTTAAAAAATTAATTATATTCTTTACAGTACATTTATTCTCATATTTTATTAAAACCATAAACAAAATTCTTGATTTAATAAAATCACACAAATTTATTTCTCTAATAATGTAAAAATTTTGCCGAGAGCGAAATAGCAAAGAATTAATTTATTTAATTTTATTTTGTTATTCTATTGTACAGGGAATATTCAATTAATCCTGAATATTCAATTACTCCATTTTCAACGGCACATTACATATTTCGTAATAACAATAGAGCTGTTGGCCATGGCGCGACGCTTTGTTGATGTTACGGTATTGGGGCTCATCGCGGCGTATGACAATGAGTGCCGATGCTTGTACAAGAAGAGTTGTCATTTGCAGTAATCGAGCGAACAGGTATCATGGGGTCACTCTCGTCCGCTTTGAATGGTTTTGTGGGATTTGTGTAATTCGCATTACAAAATTCAAGATAGAATTCTCTTCATATTTCATACTCTGTGCAATACGAAACACATTTGAAGAATCATTGCATACATGAAACATTACGGAAAAGAGAAAGTAGTTGCCGGGTTTAGCTACTTAATCCATATGGTTTAACTACAGTATATATTTTAGATAGCTACCATTGC